ATTCCAGGCGGTGAATGTTGGAGGGAAGAGGAGCCTGGTCCACTGTTCTCTGACACTCTGGCCTTGGGAATCTCATGCATCTCTCTGAACTTTATTTGTTGGAAAGCAAAATGTCAGCATTGTGCCCTGTAATATCAGTAATGCCATCATTGAAACTGAGTTAGCACATTGAACTCTTGTATCACCCATTTAAGGTAGACCTGAGATGCCAGATGAAAAACAATAAAGTCACTGCTTCGGGAATTGCCCCAGTAGGTCATGCAAACTGCCTGCTGTCTTTACAACTCTATTTTTTTTCTTAGCATGTTTTTATGGAACTGCCAACCATAACCATAAGATTGGATTTATACAGTAGCTGGTGAACCCATCTTTAAGTGATTTCCAGTTTTCTTAATGACTTGTGCAGATTCCACTTCAAACTTCTTACAATTTTGATATGAGGTATATCTGAAAAGATCACATTTGAAACAATGTAAGAATTTTCAGAGTGAAATCTAATAATTTTCAGAAATGATTAGACTAGGAAAAGTGTGACCTTTATCAGTGGATTAGGCCACTAACTAGGTGGTAACTATAGGCAATAGAGCATTACTGAAGCAGGTAGGTTCCTCTGTGTGTGCCTTTTTGAGTTTATATATTGCCCTGATGAATGCAGTGCGCTCTCTCTCTCTCTCTCTCTCTCTCTCTCTCTCTCTCTCTCTCTCTCCCTCTGCCTCTCCCTCTCCCTCTGCCTCTCCCTCTCCCTCTCCTCCCCCCGCTCTCTCTTTTTCTCCCCCTGCCCTCCTTCTTGACCCCACCATGAGGGCAGCAGCTTTCCTCTACCATGCCATTCCTCCATGATGTGCTTCCTGACCTTGGAGTCAGAACAAACAAGTTGACTATATAGACTCAGATCTCAGAAACCACGGGTTACAAATAAAATTTCCTCCTCTGTTTTTGACATCAGGTCTTTTGGTCATGGCAACACAAAACTGACTAAAACAGAGTTTTAGTATATGGCTCCTCCACATACTAGAATTTACTCAGTCTTTTCACCAAGATTCTGCAAGTCAATCCTAGTTTTTATTCCCAGATAAAATTCCTTTGTTGGAGATTCATCTGTCTATATCTAGTTTTTTGCTGTTTTATTGGTTTTCACACTGACATTTCAAAGATGGGCAGAGATGATGTAATTTTCATTACAGGAACTTTTTGCTATCAGGAAACATGCACATGTCAAGGCCATTAGAAATGATGTTCTGAAATATTTTTCTAGTAAGTCCTCTGGATCAGGTGAATTATAAAGTAGAGCCCACTGACATGCAACTAAACCCAGAAGCTCTCCTTCCCCTCAAGTCCCCGACATTCAGAGAAGAAATGTAGAAATCTGTGGCATTGCTCAGATTTCTGCAATCTGCTAGGTTCTTTATTAGCATCTACTCCATATAGTCTTGAATGTTGTGCAATGATGCATTTCAGGGATACTTATCAAATCATCTTCCTCTCAGCATCCTGGTTCTCTACTCAACATGCATAATTGTGGCCACATTTTTAACCCAATTGCTAACCCGCAGCCATTATTTTGTACTTTCTTTCATTCATTTTCCCCTTGCAACTGTTAGATGAAAAATTTATAGCACATTATATCTATTCAAGTTATTTTTAATGCTCACTGTATGTACTGGTCTTTAATATATTAATTAGGAAAGTTTGATATGAGAAGAAAAAAATGAGTATTTTCTTATCTTTTTCATCACAAATGTAGTTAAGCATTGTGATAACATAGAATGTAGCAACAATTAACTTATAATATCCACCTAAATGCTAATAAGCATTTTTTTCTTGCCTTTAAATCTACAGTAGAAAAAGAACTTATGTTAAAGAGTAGATGTATAAGTATCTGAATATTGAGTACTTAAGATATTTTAGTGGACAAAGATGTATAAATGTCTCATAAGTTGGATACCGGTTTGATATTTGTGCCTTAACCTGAGTTCTTCTATTCCTTTTTCAAAACCCTAAACAATCATGAAAAAATCTCACTTTTAAGTCAAATATTAAAATACTGTTTTAATTCTCCTCAAGCCCTGTAGTCACTACCATTAGTTTCTAAGAACTTCCTAGCCACAGTTAAACTCATATTTACAATCTAATTGTAGCACCTGAGTTCTTAATTCAAGGGGAAAGAAATAAATTAATCTCCATTGAGACAAAAAAGAACATTCTGAAAGATATCTGGTTGCCCATTAAATCTTCAGACACAAAAGAAGCAGGCTGGATGTGTACACACCAATAACAGTGCCAGAACAGGCATGAGGCAGCATTATTAGAAGATGTCACCTGGCCAAACCTCACTCCAGGACTGTCAGGTCAAGGCACCTCAACACAACCCATAAGCACAGGTTTGGGGGATGTGGACAGCATATGTTATGGAGAGTTACTCCAGGAAGGAGTTGGGCATATGGTTGATGGCTCCTGGAACTGACCAGGCAAACAGGAAGAACGGGATACAGTGATACAAGGCTGCCAAGGAAATGTTTGATGTTGACACTAGTGTGCCCTGTTGGAGGCCCAGGAATTACTTAGATTTTAGGGAATCAGAGACCCCGTGTCCAGCTCAGATGAGCCACTGATAACAAATGTCAAGGGTAAATATTTAGTAAAAGCAAGGAACATGGCAAGTACACAATCACAGAATATGAAAAAGGCAAAGAGAGAAAACTGTGGCCTTGGTACCTGTAGCAGAAAGAGCTTCTTTATGTATTATGTGCCTGGAGAAAGATTACAGATGTGAATAATTATGCTTCCTAGGAGCCATTTGGATTTCAATATCTCTACAAAAGTTAAAACTAAATGTTAGAAGAATACAACTTGTTGTTGTTATTGTTTTTGCCTTTTTTCCACATTGGTTCAGGGGATTAAACCTAGGGTACTAAACCATTAAGCTACATTCCCAGACCATTTAATTTCTTTTTTAATTTTTATTTTGAGAAATGTCTGCATAAGATTCTCAAAGCCATGCTAAGTTGATTAGGCTGCCTTTCAATGTGCAATACTCCTGCCTCAACCTCCCAAGTTGTGATTTTCAGCACCACATCCAGGTGAAATAGTTGTTTTAAGAGTATAATTCCTTGTCCCAAGACCAGAAACCATAGAGAGAATAATAAGCCATATGTGATCCTGAAGGAGAGGACTACTAGCCACCCAGAAGTGCTGGATATTTGGAGACCCAGGCCCCATGTTGTTGTGGGAAACTTGAAATGTACACAGTGCAAGCTGCTAACAGGATATAACATGCAGTGATGGAAAACATAAAATAAAAACACAGGATACAAGCACAGCAAGGGTATAATGTCAAACAGAAATAATATTTCAATATCAATTTATTATTACTTTAAAATATTATGTGAACAAATAGCATATTGTATATTACATATAATAGGATAATATCAACATTGTCAATGTTATCATTGAGTTTTCAATTAAATATATAAATTATTAATTATATATAATAATATATAATTTAATATCACATTTAAACATGTTACTAGAAATCTAATTACATATGTGGAATAACATACATCTATACGTCAGCAGTGCTCTAGAGAGTTCCAGTCTGCATGGAGAGAAGCCATACAGAGGAGCAGGGAAGGCCATGCTCATTTCTTCTTGGAGGAGAACATCCCACACACTCTTCTTATGGCTCCCAGCACCTCCTTGTTCCTCAGACTGTGGACAATGGGATTGAGCATGGGGGTTAGGATGGTGTAGAAGACAGCTAGATTCTTATCCTCTTCAGGTGAGTGAAGACTTTTGGGCCTCAGATAAGTGTAGGCAAAAGGAGCATAGTAAAATATCACCACAGTTAAATGTGTGGAGCACGTGGTGAAGGCCTTTCTTCTTCCTTCCTTTGACCTCATGTGGAAGACAGCAAAAATGACTTGTCCATACGATGCTGTGGTGCCAAGGAAAGGAAGGAGGAGAACCAAGAGTGCACTAAAAATAACCATGTACTCATAGATCCAGGTGTCCATACAGACCAGAGGCATCATGGCTGGGATGTCACAGTAGAAGTGACTGATGGTCCTGGACCTGCAGTATGGAAGATGAAGAGCATACACAGTGTGTACTAGGCCATTGAGGGAACCTAGTGTCCAGCACCCAAGGATCATCTTCACACACATTCTTTTGCTCATATATATGTGATAATGCAGGGGGTGACAGATGGCCACAAAGCGGTCATAGGCCATGGAGGCCAGGAGTAAGCCTTCAGAACTTGCCATGGTGACAAAGAAGAACATTTGCACACCACAGCCCAGGAAAGAGATGCTCCTCTGGCCAGAGAGGAAGTTGATGGCCATCTTGGGGACAGTGGAGGAGATGTACATCAGGTCCATGAGGGAGAGCTGGCTGAGGAGAAAGTACATGGGGGTGTGGAGCCAGGGGTCCAAGAAGATGAGGGCAGTCATCCCTGAGTTCCCCAAACAGGCAAGAACAAACACAGAGATGATCAGGAGCAAGAGAAATAGGCCTTTCTGATTCGGGGGAAACAACCCCAACAAAATAAAATCATTTGAAGTATGGTTCCAATTATCCATAAAAACCTATTTTCTCAAATTCCTTGAAAAGAAATAAAGAATGAAAATTGAGAATTTAAGATGAAATGAAACAGTAAAGGGAAAAAAGAAGAAATTGCCTTTATTAGTGTTTATTTAAAATTAATTATTTTAATTTCAACCTGTACCTTTTCTTAATTTATTTTGAGACCTGAATTGAATTTTCCTTCCCCAGTTCTCTCTGATAACCATTTCAGCAAGTCATAGGCACATACATGCTCATGAAATACAAAGTTTAATACAACACACAGCAAGGACAGTTGAATTCGCTGGAGCCTTCCTGCCTGATGACTCCCAGGAGGAGCATTCCTAGGACTATACACTAGGCTCAGCCCTGGAGGAAGCCAGGATCCTGCTTTCCCAGCTCCCAAACTCAGCACTCAGGTTCACCACAGACATGGCCTGTGGGGCACAGAAGTGCCCTGTGTGCTTGAGTCTGCATCCTCAGTGACCTCGCCTCCTCCACACCTTTAGTGCCTGCTCTCCCCTCCCCACTGGCACTGCTGCAGCTGAGTAAGCCAGGGTCTTCTCCCAGAGCTGTGCTGCTCACCTCCTAAACAGAAGCTGCTCAGCTGGCTCTAAAAGGGGGTCACCGTCCAAAGCATTATTCTTGTCCTGTGAAGATATAGTGTGACCTATAATATCCATACTTATTATAATATGTACTTTGGATATTGTCTCCTCCCTAATGAGTTTTCTATTTTCTGAAGTCTTATAAACTCATTTTTTTCTTTTTTATATGTGTGTTTGTGTAAGGAAAAAACACATGATAAAAATAACAGGTTACAGTAATATGCAAGATTTTTATTCTATTTTTCACAGCAGCAAGCATACTTTATGTGGTGATGGATATACCAACATGGGTTTTGATAACAGAAACACATAGTCAGAGGCTTTTTTTTCTGTTTACATAGGAATCTTTGAGATGTCATTGCTTGTATGAACACTTTTTTATATTACTTCATTTATCTTAATCCATATACAGCCCAATTATGTAAATATAGACACTGATGTCTTCATTTTCTAAGTATGAAAAGTAGAATTCACCAATGAAAAGAGAAATTTTTGAAGCTACAGTGTGTACTCAGAGTAGGAATTGAGCCTGTGTGACTCCTTTACATTTCCAATCATTTTTTTAACTATTTGGTAAACTCTTTACTGTTTCTACACATTCAAAACAATTTCTATAACTATAACTGTCCTCCATAAGATAAGGCCTATTTTCATATCTGTGACTAGGTCAGAGCACATGGACCTTAAAGAGGAAGTTCTTTTGTTCTCCCTGTCCTGCACTGCAAGTTTTCATCTTGTCATTTAATAAGGAGGCCTATGATTACATTTAGAATAGCAGCTACAGAGAGTTCAGAGTATCATAAAAATATAGATGATAATTGCTGTATTAATTATCTTTTTATCCTAAATTGAAAATGCACGTGCATTTTCAATTCAATGCATGAGTATATTGACTTCAGGATCACATTCATCTGTATTGAAGATTTTGCAATCTGGAACTTTAGAGTTAGATATGAGGATATAATTCCTTTGAAGACCAGAAAAATTTCTATATTGGGTATTGGACCTTATTTTATTTCCTAGAATATCTTCAAACACCACTCTTTTTGTTACATTACAATATGGAGAATATTGCTCTGTGATTACAAGCTGTCTCAAGGATTAGTGTTTCCCTTGATTATTTTATAAGGCATGTTATAAAATATTGAGAGTTTAAAAAATATAACCTTGATCTGACAGAACCTAATACATACAACTGCAGCAAGTGTAGCTGGATGAGTTCATTTTGCAAAACTTACAAAAAAGCAAAACTAATTAATAAAATGAAAATTAATGGTCTCTGAAAAAATGTTACAGTCAGCCCTGGACTAAAAAGTGAATTGTTTGACTGAGCCTAGGCTAACTCAGTTCCAATAACCTCATGTAAAAGCTTTGAAGATGGAATTAAGTGAGATTTGGGTTTAGCTTATAGAACTCTGAATAAGTTTCACTCTCCTCTCTTCCTTTTATATTTTAAATTCAGAAGAGGTAGACCCAGAGATATTAATCTCTCAATTAAGTTCACACTCCTGGATAGCAGTACATTCTAAAATTTTAATGGTTTCACATCAAATAATTTTACATTTAAACTCCCTCTTATATTTTACATTTTGTTATACCATGGCCTATTCTGTGTGCAAAATAAATGATTCCTAATGATAAGAAAATATCAATTCTAAAATATTTCTTGGTTAAAGCTAACTCAAATTAATTTAGCACAATTAATGAATTTTGATTTCATTTTGTGAAATTCTTCAGACTGGGTTTTGAGAGAAGATGAGTCATTTTAATTACAATGTACCCTGCTAAAAGTCCATTGAATACTTTGAAATATTTAAACCCAAAGCTGTGCTCACACTCTGCCAGGATAAGCAAATAGATTCTGACACTGAGCAGCTGGCCTGGATCTCACCCAGCTCTCCTGATGTGAGGAGCCAAAGGCACCAGG